TATTTTTTTCTGTTTAGATACAAACCCAGAAATATAATGTACAAATCAAATATCCAAATCAATATCCAAATCAATATCCAAATCAGTGCAAAGTAAATAAACTGAAGATCTGCAAGATAACACTCTTGCACTTCCACCCTCTATCAAGCAAGACAAAAACCATATAGAGATGAACATCTAGCACCTTTCACAAGAGGCTGTGAAAGTTATGTGATGTGACCAGAGTAAGAAGAGCAGAGGGACTACAGAGTAATTAAGCACGTTAAATGGAGAGTTAATTTTGGTTTCTGAATGACTACAAAGGAGGTGGTTATTTGTGGGTGTCCAAAAGTTAAGATATAAAGCTCATATCCATTGAAAAAATGTGATTAAAATAGGAAACCTACTCACCACCCTGGAATCAGTAAATGGTAGAAGAAACAAGAAAAGATGTAAAAACAAAAGGATTATGTACATTTGTAGATATAAACAACATGGAAGTTTAGTATTACACTTTACTAACCAGCTATCTCCACTATTATTAAGGGCAAAATATGAGTTTATGCTTACATGGAAGTAGTAAAAATTAAACTTGAACAATTATTCAAAATACAAAGAAAGCCTAAAAGGATCAAAATCAAGATATATAACCAGTCAATCACCACAAAAGAACTCTTTCACGCTACCTCTTTGTAGTCACATTCACCTCCCACCCCACCTCATCCATCTCCCTATCACTTGGCAACTGCTAATCTGTTCTCCACCTGTATAGTTTTGTCATTTTGTTAATGTCATATAAATGGAATCATATCACCTTTGGATGCAATGTTCTGCAACTATTCTTATAAGCATTTATTCTTTAAGCTTGTTCTGGTTGTTTTATGTATCAGTAGTCCATTCCTTTTTAGTGCAGAAATGCATTCCATTGTAAGGATGTATCAGAGTTTGTTCAACCATTGACCCATTGAAGACATTTGGATTGTTTGCAGTATTTTGTACTACAAATGAAACTGTAAAACATTTGTTTACAGGTTTTGAGTGAATATAAATTTTTATTCTCTGGGATAAATGTCCAAAAATGTAATGGCTGCATCATATGGTAAGTGCATATTTAGTTTGAAGACAGTGTCAAAGTAGCTATTATTCCCACCAGCAATTGTATGAGAACCAGTTTCTCTGCATTTTCATCAGCATTTGGTATGATCGCTATGGCTCATTTTAGCTACTCTGATCGATGTGCAGTAGTCAACCTATGCCTTTTAATTGGATTATTTGGTCCATTTACATCTAATATAATTATAATATGATTGGGTTTAACACTACCATTTTGCTCTTTATTTTCTATTTGTTTTACTCTCTTTTGTTCATCTTTTCCTGTCTTCCTTTTAGTTAATTGAATATATGTAATGTTCTGGTTTAATTTCTCTCCTAACTTTTTAGCTATGTAACTACACATCAAATTTTAGTGGTTCCTCTAGACATTAGAACGTGCACCACTATCTTATCATAGTCTGTTTAGAGGTCATACTATACTACATCAGGTAAAGTATAAGAACTTTGCAACAACATGTTTCTATTTACTCCCATGCTTAGTGCTACTGCTGTCACACTTATCATACCTTGCACGTATTTTGATGACTATACTGTATCTTTATGAGTGTTGCCTCAAATCATCATATATGTTTTGTAGGAATTAACAAGAAAATGAGATCTTTCATAGTTTCTCATATGTTTGCCATTTACAGTTCTAATTATTACTTCCTGTAGAACTGTTTTCATCTACTATCATTTACTTCTAGCCTGAAAAATTTCCTTTAGCATCTTTGCAGTAAAAGTCTGTTAACAATGAGTCTTCTCAGTTTTCATTGATCATGAGAGTCTGGCTGCTTTGTCATAATGACTAATAAGCAGAGAAGTTTCCTACTCTTGTAAACCCTGGAATGGTATATCCTCCAAAATCATCCCCTCACAAAAGGCTCATTCATAAGCAACATAGATCATTTGAAATGACTGCTGCTATTCTGTGTAAGTCTAAACACTCTAAAAGTCTGTTCACCAGCTCCCAGCTGCTTCTTGGGCACCCAGTCTGTAGAAAGTCTTGTCCTGGAACTCTCCCAAATCTGGGTGGTGAAGCTTGTCCTAACTCTCTCTTCCTTAAATTTCTCTGATTTTTGTCTCCAAAAATTATAGTAGTCAGCTCTCTTTTGTGACTTCATTAACACCATGCATCAGAAGTAAAAATCTAATATTTTTTTGTGAGTATACTTCACTTCTTATTACTTTTATCACTTTCCTATGACCAATGACCATGTATATTATTATACTGGGAGAAGCCCTGGGCATGTACCAATATCCATGCCCTGCCAAAAATTATGAGATTGACAAGAATGAGTATACTTTAGGTCCCCCTGACAGCATTCAGAGTCATCAGTTAAGTAATAGGTTGGGCTCAGCTCATAACCAGGCCAGCACCCTCAGTTCTTGATTAGTTCAGCAGCCCCTACACACATTTACTATGTAGCGAAGCATTTGGAGATGAAATCTTTATTTGGTCACTGCTACACAGTATCTTTCTACTCTGAAGAATCACAGCAAAATCACAGCTGTATTTTAAATAGTAACCAGATCAGAGTAGTATGCTGATGTTCTGGCCATGATGGAGGTCTAGGTAGAAACCCTTCACTTCCTTGCACAACCAAAAGGAGGATAACAACCAATCTAAAGTCAATACACAACCAGAAGTGCCAGAAAATCAAATTGCATGGAACTCTGACAACCAAGGAATTAAAGAAATAGTCAACCAGACCAACCAGACCAGTAAGATGGGCAGATGAGAGAACCTGCTGCGAGGTGGTGGGCCATGCGGGCGGGGCTCACTGGACAGGAAACAGACTCAGAGCTGACTGTGGACTATGGCGAGGGTTGCTGCAGTGGGAGAAACTCCTGGTCTCATATCAGAGTTTGTTGGAAAGTAGGGCTAGAGCTGAGCAGGTGAGCTACATTGTTCCCTCTCTGGACCCTCCCCCAAAGGCAGTGCCTCAGTGCAGCAAGGAGGGTTGCCCTGCCCTGGTGAATACCTAAGGCCCTGCCCCTTACAATTTAACAGGTGCGCTGAGACAAAGAAATAGGACCCAAATGAAAAAACAGCAAAATTCCAGAAAGAGAGCTAAGTGAGGCAGAGATAGCCAACCTATCTGATGCAGAATTTAAAGCCCTGGTAATCAAAACGTTCACAGAACTGATTGGGCTTGGTTGAAAAATGAAAGAACAAATGAAAGATACCCAAAATGAAATAAAGTGAAATATTCAGGGAACCAACAGTGACAGGAAGGAAACCAGGACTCAAATCAATGATTTGGAACAGAAGGAAGAAATAAACATCCAATTAGAGCAGAATGAAGAAACAAGAATTCGAAAAATGAAGAGAGGCTTAGGAACCTCTGGGACAACTTCAAACATTCCAATATCCAAATTATAGGGGTGCCAGAACTATGAAGAGTAAAATGATGACAAACTCACAACTATCAACAAATGAACCTGGAAAAAAGAAAAACAAAAACAACAAAAACTAAGCAAACAACTAGAACAGGAGCAGAATCAGAAATGGACATCACATGTAGGGCTTTCAGTGTGGAGGGGAAAGGGAGGAATAGAGGGGAAAAGGTATAGTGGAGAAGCATAATTGGTAGGCATAAAACAGATGAAGAGAGGTAAAAAATGGCATAGGAAACAGAGAATTCAAAGACCTTATAAGTACAACCTATGGACATGAACTAAGGGGGGGAATGTTGGAGGGTTTGGGGGGTGCAGGGTGGAGCAGGGACAAAGGGGGAAAAATTGGGAAAACTGTAATAGTTAAATCAATAAAATATACTTTAAAAATAAATAGTAACCAGATCAAAACAATCTTGAAGCAACATATTTTCAGAGAAGAAACCCCCTTATCTGAAATTCTTTTTCTATTAATTTATTCATGTCAGACCCCTTCATGCAATCTGTAAAACTCATATAGACAAAATTCCTGATTCTTCTGTCTATATTCCTTCTGGATCTCCTCTTTTTACATCTATTTCTTTCTTTCTTGTCCACTTAGGGTGAGTGCCAATTTCTCCACCATCAACTTGCAGTTAAAAGAGATGAGTTAATATATTTTGCTTAGAAGGATTTATAATTACACACACAAGAAATGACAATGTCCTGAAGAATTAAGAGAAAGCGATGGAGAGGAAAGTCTGAATTTAAAAGGATTTGATAACTGCCCTGGCCAGTTAGGCTCAGTTGGTCGGGCATCATCCTGCAAACCAAAAGCTCATGGGTTCAATTCCTAGCCAGGGCATATGCCTGGGTAGTGGGTTCACACCGTGGTTGGGGCTCATGCAAGTATTTCATTTACATCATGAAATATTATGTAGCAGTAAAAAAAGTTCTTACCTTTTACAACAGCATGAGTGGACCTGGAGATTATTATGCTAAGTGAAATAAGTCAGTTAATGAAAGAAAAATATCGTGATCTCACTGATAAGTGGAATCTAATGAAAAACATAAACTAATGAGCAAAACAGAGGCAGAGACATAGAAAACATGCAAAAGACTGACAGCTGTAAGAGGGGAGGGAGGAGAAGGTGACTGGTTGAGAGAAGGTGAAGGGATTAGTCAAGGAACATATATGAATGACCCATGGACATGGACAACAGGGTAGGGATTGACTATGAGAATGAGGGGTGGGCTGGGTGGAGAAGGAAAATGGGGGGAAATTGGAACAACTGTAATAACAAAAGCAAAAAATATTAAAAGAAAAAAAGGATGAAGTTATGGAAAAACAACTACCAAGACTATGGTGTGCTTCCTTGGTCTGCAGGAATCTGAGAGCATTATAGAAAGGCATATGGTCTAAGTGATGCTGTTGAACATATGAGGGCATCCAAATTTGAATCTACAAGAAGCATGAGCATTAAGAAGTTCAAGATCATCTTGTCCAGGCCACAGACAAAACATGACAGAGATCAACTAATCCCACTTACCTGTCTGAAAAGCTCTCACCCCATTCTCCTGTGTGGGTACTTCCTGCTCACCCATCTGAGAGGCAGAAGGAGCCTTGGGCACTGGTACCTCTTCTGCATCATCGTAACCCTCACTGAAGGCATCAGTCCTCTGATCTGGGGCTTCTACAGGTAGACAAGGGGATCAGGTGAAACCACAGTAAATGGGTTGGTTTAGGTAATAACTCAGTCCTTTATGACCCAGAGATTCTGATGGCTGCTAGACAGGGCCACTATTCACCCCATGCTTTAATGGGTCTTTCTAAGGCCATGTACTTCATTTCTATGTGCCAATGAACCAAAAAATTATCCAAATGTCTCAGTATTTCTTGATTAAAATTAAATATTTTTTCAAAGCATATCTTATACCAAGGACCATTACTAAAATATTTAATTGAGTTATACTTTTCAGGTGTTATTTTTGAAAACAGTTTTGCTGTTGTAACTGAATGAGGGTGGTTCAGGACACTGAGAACGTGGCCCCAACATAGGGCATTGAGAGGAGAGAGACTGAGTTCAGTAAGACAAAGGAACCCTCTTATCACAGTCAAAGGGAGACTATTCCCCCTGGCTCTCATCTCTGGGGGACATTCCCTTGCCCCCAATACCCAGCCAGGACAGATCCACCTCTACAACCTAGAACAGATTTATGGTCACTATTCTCCTCACCATCCCTGGTATAATACAGCAGTCCTGTCACTGAGTCATCTGACAGGGACCCTAATGTGGAGGAAAACATCACAAAAGCAAAGAGAACACTTTTCACACCCAGAGGCTCCACAGTAAGGCTGAGAAGAAATGCTGGGGTAGCATGGCTCTCGTGGTGTCAAGAGAAGGATTTAAGCTCACAGGGGCTCTGGAGAGGCTCCTCCTGCCTCTGTGAACCTGGGTTTTATGTGGGATCTGCAGATGCTGAGAAGACTTGGCTCACAGACAGTGGATGGCTGAGAAGTAGAGGTCCCAGGAGGGCAAGGCAGGGATGCTCACCTGGGTTGCTCAGTAGGTCCTCTTTCTTCGGTGTTACAAGATAATTGATCTCCTCATACACGTCCTGGTCAAGAGCATCTTCAAAGCTAGATGAGGCTGAGCAAACCACCAGCAGGTCAGAGATTATCCCCTGACACAGTGCTGAACCAACAAGCTGATCCTTCATTGTTCCCAATGCTCACAACCAAGAAAAATCATCTTGGTTTCCAGGACCCCCTTATAGACTTATACCAACACACCATGTTTGAACATTCTACCTATGTCTGACCCTGTATCCAAAGCTCAGCTCCTACTCTTTCCTATTCACATATAAAACCATGACTTATGAGTATTTATACCCCACTCTCTAGAACATCTGTATATTCACCCCTTAGTGGCTAATGAGGGGCAGATGGATTTTTTCAAACTAATAGAGTAAGAACAGATACCTTGCCTAGTTTCCTCTTGGCATCCCTGCCCCATTTCCTGCTTCCATACATGTTACATGTTACCCAGTACTCCCTGCAGCCCACCTCTGTGCTCCACTCTCCATCTATGCAGCTGAATCACCAGGATGATGAGGACCAGGAAGAGAAGGGCCCCCAGGATGAGGCAAAGGATCCCAGGCAGGGAGAAGACACCAGGGACAGGCCTTGGGACAGATCTGGTCCCTAAAAAGAACAAAGCCAAGAGGATTTGGAGAAGGGCACATGTACAGTTAGTCTCACTTACACCGACATTTCCAGAGAGCTCAGGACAGTGATATACCAGCTTGAACATAATGGGATTGACTGCCACCCTGGTGGGCACTGCCCCAGGCCATGTCCTAGGATAAATTCAACTCCACTCCAGGATGGTCCATGGGAGTGCTGGGGGTTATCAGGGAGCGCTGGAAGTACAAGAATCTCTGTGGGCCAGGGCATAGCTTCAGCCCCTTCTCTTGTGCTTCACCAGACTAGAACACCAAACAATCTTGGCATAGGTGTCAGCTGCTGAGGAGCTACAATCATGGGGAGGTGAAGAAATCCTTAGAGCCAGCCTACCATAGCCTGAAGGCATGAGAAACTTCTGGCACAGTGAACCAAGGAAGGCAAAGTTTGTCCAAGGAAAACACCCTGATAACTCCCCAGCACCCAGTTGCTCCTTGGGATCTTTCCTTTCTGAGTTGGCTAATTCTGTCAGAGGTTCTATAGAACATGTCCCAAGAATTTGACCATGGTCTCATACCCATGGATGGTGGCACTGCACCTGCTGTGGTCGTCGGCAATGTTGTTCTTTTACCTAGAGAGAAAAACAGGAGTTGGGAGCATAGGAATTGGCCAGAATGCAGGGTAACCCACTTTTCTTACTTGAACCCTGCAATCTCCTTTAGGTTAGCATATAAACAATATTGTGTCCTTCCAGCTCCCCCTTTCCTAATCCAGGGCTGCAGCCCCTAGATGCTTTGTGAATACCAACTGCCCATCTCATCCCAGCCCAGCCCATTGCCCCACCCCAGCTCCAGCTCAAGCAGAGGTCAACCCACTCTCCACCACTCACCAGAGCACCTCACTCCAGCGTCCTCCTCATGCTTGCAGTCACTCTGCCCCCAGGGCTGTGCAGCACAGGCCCACAGGGAGGACTCCCTGCCTTTGCACTGCACCTCATCCAGCCAGATGTACCCACTTCCTGGGCCAAATGCCGCCTCCTGCAGGGCTTCCAGGGCAGAGCCACAGCCCAGCTGCTGACACACCACCTCGGCCTCTGCCAGGCTCCAGGAGTCATCACACACTGTGCCCCAGGAGCCATTGTGCCAAACCTCCACTCGTCCTGAGCACTCAGTGTCTCCATCCGTGAGTCGGAGCCTGTGTTTGTCTGACCAGATAGCAGCACATCCTGTTACCATCCTTGGTGGGAGAGAAGGAGCCCTGGGAGCCCACAGGGAAGCTGGGAGGGGCTGATGTACCTGTGCAGGGGGCAGCAGTGGGACAGCTTTTGGGTCTCATTCCTGCAGAAGCAAACAGTGGGGAAGCACTGGATCAGGGACAGCTGGGTGTGGTTTTGCCTCACAACAAGATTATTTAGGGTCTCTGTTTCAGACCAATGGCAAGTGAAAATACAGGCCTCATAATTAATTTAATGGCCTGGGTTAGTGAGAGATACACTGGATCTTAGTCTGCATCATCAGCTGACATTACTTTATATGTTTACTTGTTTATCACTCTCTACATTTCACTACAAATACAAATACAAAACACACACACACACACATCCCTGAATGAAAGCTCCCTAGAGGAAGAACTTGCATATCTTATTCATCTTTGTGTTTCTGCTTAAGACAGTGCCTGCATATTGTATGCATTCATTCAATAAGTAGGCAATGAGAACCTTCTATAAATATTGTATATAGGAACTTGATCAACATTTATGGAATGAATGAATCAATTAATAAAACTTAGTGAAATAGAATTCTTTTAAATCCTGATAATCAATAATATAATAAAAGAAATACAAATTAATAATATTGCTATGTGGTAATAACTATGATGTTAAAAAGAAATCCTCAAACAACCAAAATTAAGGACAAAAAGTGCAGAATCACAGAAGTAATTTGTATTCAATATTGAATTTACACTTTTTAAAGGGAAAGTACCCAACAGATTATAAACTTTCTTTATATTTTTTCAGTGTGAGATATGGGGAAACAAAAAGGATTACTATAGAGTAGGACACTCTTTTTAAAGTACTAGAACAAGTGGAATATAGAGAAAGATAGATTACCAGCTAGTTAGTGAGACAGAAATGTCTGTATGAGACTTAAATAAATATACTAAGAAAAACTACATTAAGAAGACACAGAGGATCAAATACCATGTGAGAACTGAAACCAAAGAAAATAGACATAAATTCAAAACATCACTAGAAAACAGAAGTATACACAGTACTTGCCATTAAATGTCAGAATTGGTCTTATCTTTCTGTCTCATCCTATCAAACCTCCTGCCCTATGCAGAGAACATATCTGAAAATGGTGGCAGGACCTCTCTTGTGTAGTTGTTACTTCAGGATTGCATACCTCACTACTCCTCAATTAGTGCATTTGAGTATAGAAAATTATCATCAATATAAGGTCTTATAGTTTAACATTTCTTCAGTCTTTCACAAGAGTAAAAAAATAAAGACGAAGAAAGAAAGGCAAGGAAGGGAGTGAGCCTCTGCCTGTAAAATATCTATTTCTGGACTTCCAGCCAAGATGGAGGTGTAGGTGGACACACTGTGCCTCCTCGCACAACCAAAATTAAGGACAACAAAAATTTAGAAACAAAAAAACAACCAGGACAGAAAATTGAACTGTATGGAAGTCCGACAACCATTCATCCAGACTGGTAAGAGGGGCGGAGTTGGAGGCCTGCAGAGAGGGATCGAGGCAGGAAAAAGCGGTGGCTGGCAGACCCCAGGTGTGGGAAAGGAATAAGCAGATCCAGTGAGGAATGCAAGGCAGCTGGCTGTCCACAGTCACACATTTGTGTGCAGAGGAACCAGGTGAAAACGGGGAGCAAGACAGACCGTGTTACCCAGGGCCCTAGTTCAGGGAAATAAAATCTAAAAGCACCAATTGAAAACACTTGTGGTGGTTGAGGTGCTAGGAGAGACTCCCAGCTTCTCAGGAGAGTTCATTGGAGAGACCCAATGAACTCTCCATTACATGAAAAAATGGAGGTCCTAGAACGTATACAAGCCCACCCACCCAGGAGCCAGCACCAGAAGGGCCCAATTTGCTTGTGGGAAGCAGCAGAGGGGACTGAAATCCGACAGAGAGCAGAGCAAGTGCCATTGTTTCCTCTTGGACCCCACCCCCACATACAACATCACAACCCAGTGACTGGGGTGCCCCACCCTGGTGAAGACCTAAGGCTCTGCCCCTCATACATAACAGAAGGGACCAGATGCCCCCCCCCCCCAAAAAAAAAAGAGATGCCTCAAATGAAAGGACAAATGAAAGCCCCAGAGTCAATACTTTTAAGCGACTCAGAGATAGCCAACCTATCAGATGCACAGTTCAAAGCACTGGTGATCAGGATGCTCAGAAAATTGGTCCCAAATTACATGAAAAAATGGAGGCTACAATAAATGAAATGAAGAAAAATGCACAGGGGACCATAGTGATGGAAAGAAAACTGGGTCTCACATCAATGGAGGGGACCAGAAGGGAAAAAAATACAATCAGAAAAAGAATGGAGAAATAAGAATTCAAAAACATGAGGAGAGGCTTAGGAACCTCCAGGACATTTTTAAACATTCCAACATCCAAATTATAGGGATACCAGAAGGAGAAGAGAAAGAGCAACAAGTGGAAAACTTATTTGAACAAATAATAAAGAACTTCCCCAATTTGGCAAAGGAAATAGACTTCCAGGAAGTCCAGGAAGCTTGGAGAGTCCCAAAGAATTTGGACCCAAGGAGGAATACACCAAGGCACATCATAATTACATTACCCAAGATTAAAATTAAGGGGAGAATTCTAGAAGCAGCAAGAGATAAGGGGACAGTCTTTTACAAAGGAGTTCTCATCAGATTGTAGCTGACTTCTCAAAAGAGACTTTGCAGGCAAGAAGGGGCTGGAAAGAAGTATTCCAAGTCATGAAAGGCAAGGACCTATATCCAAGATTGCTCTATCCAGCAAAGCTTTCATTTAGAATGGAAGGGTAGATAAAGTGCTTCTCAGATAAGGTCAAGTTAAAGGAGTTCATCACCATCAAGCCCTTATTATATGAAATGTTAAAGTGACTTATCTAAGAAAAAGAAGATAAAAAATATGAACAGTAAAAAGACAGCAAACTCACAGTTATTAACAACCACACCTAAAACAGAAGTAAACAAATAGAACAGGAACAGAACCACAGAAATGGAGAACACATGGAGGGTTAGCAACAGGGGAATGGGAGGAGGAGAGAGGGGGGGAAAAGGTACAGAGAATAAGTAGCATAGATGGTATGGACAAAAATAGACAGAGGGAGGGCACAAATAGTATGGAAAATATAGAAGCTAAAGAACTTATGACACATGGACATGAACTAAAGGGGGGAATGTGGGTGGGAGGGGGTTTGCAGGGTGGAGGGGAATGAAGGGAGGGAAATGGGACAACTGTAATAGCATAATCAATAAAATATATTTAAACAAACAAACAAACAAAAAACCAAAATATCTATTTCTCACTGCTGTGGATTACAGGCAACTCCCACCACATTGTCCAATGCATACCTGAATGGGGTGTAGCATGGAGGAGGGAAACAAATCAAGAAGCAGAAAAAATGTTGTGGGAAGAGAAAACACTGTGCAAATGCAAAAGGAGGAAGGGAGGGAAAGAAGAGAGGGAAGGGAAGAGGGAGAAGGGAAGAAAGAAGAAGAAAGCAAAGCAAAGCAACTGTTAACCCATATTCAGACTTTAAATAGAGTGAGACTTGTGGGCTTTGTAAGCTTATTGATTTTGGAGCATCTATGTGATTTGACTTGTGACTTGACTCTTTAGTTTGAGTCAAGTTCTAGAAAAATCTCAGTATCTTCTATCTAGATATGAAGAAGAAAACTGAAAATAATTAAGCTGAGAAAAATAATTTGACCATATTTAAGATTTGTTGTGTACATACCTGCTTATGCTTTGATCTAATAATATAAATATTGGGAATAATTTTATATCAGTAAACTCACTAGTATGTAGAGATACATGATGATAATATTTATCACAAAGTTATTTATATAGGGAAAATTGAAAACAATTGGAATGCTAATAAATAAACAAATGGTTATATGAACTGTAGTACCAACTTCTCATGAATGAAATATTTGCCATTATTTAAATGAGTTATATCCACCTGGAGGACAGCGTGGTGATTTCTGGGAAGAGGAGGGTGGGTGGAGAAGGAAGAGGGTATAATGGGGATAAATGGTAATGGAAAAATACCATAAATATATATTATTAAAAACTCAATTTAATAATAACATGTATGATTGAATCTCAATTATGTAAAAACTGATAATAGAACACCATTCACATCAAATTTTTTCATAGGTATGAATGTGGATATCCTTTAGTGAAAATGGATGGATTTAAAAATGGTACTTACTAGTCCATTAATCCTGTTTATGTCAGGAGGATATGGATGAACAAGGAGTCATAGGATATGATTCATTTCTCCTTTTACATTTTATATGTCTTCCCTGCTTACAGTAAGTAAGCAATGTTTTTGTAATTGAAATGAAAGAGAAAGGAATTGGCCTTTTTCTAATCTTAAAACAAACTAGTGGAAAGAACACAAATTCCCTTGTGCCAAGCCTGGTACAAACACAGCAGAAGCAAGTGCAGCTGATTCAGTGAAGAGACAGAGACAAGCAAAAGGGGATATAAGGAAAGGCTGGCAGGCCATCCTACTTGCTTCCAGTGTTCTTTTATGTATAACAGTGTTCATTCCCTGGGGGACCATCAGAGTGGAAAGAGTCCCTTATGATACTTGTACTTAGAATAAAACCAAACCTGCCTCTTGGTAACCTCTATCCATCTTGTCAGGGCTCTGCCCCCTGAAGCAGCTCATGGTGAGTCCCCTCCCTCTTTCATGGGAAGTCCTTTAGAGTCTGAGGCCAACAACCAGGCTACATCTATTCTGGCATTTCTGCTAATTAGCCTAATTACAGACTTCCTGTGACATGGTTTACAGCTGTTTTTGCAAATGGAACACGTGCCTAGACAGTGATATGTGCTAGCATCACTTCTAAAGGCAGTTCCTTCTACTATGTGTTAACGAATTAATCACCTTGGTAATGAAAAGAAATTTATTTCCAGCAGTGGATATAACATTGCAGCCCTTTACTTCCAACTCTCTGTCCTTCACAGTTTCTCCAAAATGTTGTGTGCATTTTCACCATCGTCTTATTCTTTGATATTTCTATTTCTGGTTTCCACCTTCTACCTAACACTTGACCCTCAAAAGAGGTCTAGTTAGGACAATCAATGATATACAATGACTTTAATGGGCACATTGCAGTTCTCATTTACTTAATGTCTTAGCAGTATTTAACATATATGACCATCACCCTTTCCTTGAAACTTTTTTAAACCTGACTTCCAAACACAATATTCTCTGTCAGCTCCACATCAGACTTTATGTCAGTTCATAGAATGCTCTATACAGTTTTTAAATGTTAACGTTCCTTAGATTCTGTCCTAGGAATGTTTACATTCCTAATGATCTCATCCATTCCAATCTAAGCATCTCTATGACAATGTCCAAATTTGTATCTACTCTCTCAGATTTTCTTCCTAAACTCAAACTTCCTAATGATGTCTTCACCTGAGTGTTCTTATCACTTTAAACTTAATGTATTGTATCCAAGCCTAAGCTCATGGATTTCCTTCCATAAACTTCTGTGTTTCCCATATTAATGAAAGATACTGCCATATCTCTAGCAGTATGTAGTCTTGACTCTTCCAAGATATTTTAAGTTGCCATTATGGGTGTACATTTCCCCTGCAAAAATCCTTTTTTTATCTTGTATTCAAAGGATGTTTTCTTTTTATTTACTTATTTTTATGTATTGGAGAGAGAGAGGAACATCAATTTGTTGTTCCACTTATTTATGCATTTATTAGTTGATTCTCAGATGTCTCCCAACCAGGGATTAAACCCACAACCTTGGTGTATCAGGATCATATTCTAACCAACTGAACTATCCAGCTAGGGCCAAAGGATGTTTTCTTAATGCAAAACTGATTAATTTACTTTGAAGCTTAAAAACCTTTCAATTAGTTTTGATTATATCTTCATGAAAATATCTTTAATTTTGACTACACAATCAAACAGGTTATTAATCTATTTAAAAACTCTTTTTGAGTGTCTATTGTATGCCAAGTACTGTTATCACACTGGACATACAGTGGTGAATATGAAAGCCAGTCAAAGTTCTTGATCCCATGGAATTATCAAATTAATAGGTGTATAATAAACATAAAAATCAATAAATTATGGTTTCACATAATAAAGAGTACTATGAGAACCATAAAATTATGCTATAAAAAATAAAATTGGCTGGGCAGAAGAATTGGAACCTTGCAGGAGAGATATTGAGTAAAGCAATCAGCATGTTTAGGGATAAGCACCAAATGTCAGTATATCTTAAATAATTTTGACTGAGGTAATATCATTTAAGTTGATGTGAGGGGCCTCACTGAGGAAATAATATCTAAAGTGAGAACTGAATGATAAGAAGTTGACAGGCAGGCAGAGCAGATAGAACAGCTAGTGCAAGGTCACAAGATATGTAATACCATCAGTCTGGTTAAATAATACTAAAACATTAAAGGATGGCTAGCCTGCTTTCCCTTACTTCCCCCATGCTATCTATTTCATGAATACAAAGAGAGTCAATATACATACCTGCTAGTTGAAGAGTGATAGGAAAAAAGACCTGAGTGTTGGGTAGGGGGAGGAATATGCATGCCTTTTTCAACCAGTGTAAGAAATCTGAGTTTCATCTTAAGTTCAATAGAAAGACATTGGTGGCTTATAAGCAAAAAGAAAGAAAAAGAAAAGAAAAAATATATGAACTAAAATTTAAAACTTTAAAATTTAAAACAACTCAATTTCCTGGCAGTTTTGGTTGTTTATTGTTTTTAAATTGGTTTTTATCCTTATTTTGGTTGCTTGAGGAAGCAAAGTGTTTCTGTCTATGCCTCCATCTTGGCTGGAAACTTTTTCTCTTCATTTCTGATTTTATTTGTTTAGACCCTCTCTCTTTTTATTTTGATGAGTTTGGTTAAAATCTTGTTATTTTGTTCAGTTTTTTCAAAGAACCAGCTCCTGGATTTATTGATCCTGTGAATTATTTTTTAGTCTCTATGTCATTTAATTCTGCTCTGATCTTGTATATTTCCTTCCTTCTACTCTCTCTGAGCTTTGTATGTTGTTCTTCCAGTTCTTATAGATGTAGGGTAAGGTTGTCTATTTGAAATGTTTCTGTGTTTTTAGGTAGGTCTGTATTGTTATGAACTTCCCTCTCAGGACTAGCTTCACTGTGTTTGATAGATTTTTGGCTGTTGGGTGTTCATTTTCATTTGTTTCCAGAACCTTTTTGATTCTTCCTTGACCTCGTTGTTACCCCATTGATTGCTTAATAACATGTTATTTAGTCCCCATGAATTTGACTGTTTTTGAGTTTTTTCCTTGAGATTGGTTTCTAGTTTCAAGTCATTGTCATCTGAGAAAATGCTTGATGTGATTTCAATTTTCTTGAATTTGTTGAAGCTTGTTTTTTGTCCTATTATGTGGTCTATCTTTAAGTATGTTGCACATGCATTCGGAAAGAATGTATATCTTATTCTTTGGGTGAAAGATTCTATATATATCACTTAAATCCATCTGATTTAGGGTGTTTTTCAGTGCCACAATGTCCTTGTTGATTCTTTGTTTGAAAGGTCTGTCTGTTGTTGACAGTGGGATGTTAAAATACCCTGGTATAAATGTGTTGCTGTCTATATCTTGAAGTCCTCCAAGAATTTCCTTATATATCTGTGTGCTACTATGTTGGGTGCATATATGTTTACAATATTTATGTCTTCTTGATTGATTCTACCCTTGAGTATTATGAAGTGTGCTTTTCTTTTTTTATGACCTTTGTTTTGAAGTCTATTTTGTCTGGTGTAAGTATTATTATGATGAATTTTTTTCTTGTCTATTTACTTGGATTGCTTTTTCCATCCTTCTTCTTTCATGAAGAAGACTCACTTCAGTCATAAAGAGTCATGACTATAATTTTTCTTTCCTCTGTCTTCTTACATTAAGTATCAATTTGTACCTACAGGCCCTCAATTACACTCAACCAATAGACTGACTTGAGAAGTAGTCTAAGTGGTATAGATGCATTTCAGAGTACAATATCATGAATTTAAGACATGGACCAATCAGGATTGAGTCTCTGCTCTGTCTCTTCCTTACTTTAAGGTGATGAGCATATCTTTTAACTACTCCTAATTAGTTATCAATTCCTTAGAAGGTTTATCAGAGTATTAATGGTGTTCCCACATGCTTTATTCCAATCTCTCTGATATTTTTGCATTAATTGCTATGAGCACAGGTTTTTTCATTATTTCCCTTGAAACAAAATTTCAACATTGGATTAAATCATCTTCATTTTGTACACTCATCTTAAAGTCATCCCTTAGATTTGAAAATATAAATATCACTAACAGCATCCCACATGGGTGGAGCAGACACATACAAACAGAGAATAAATACCTGCACATGTGATGTAAGCTTCCTCCTTTGGCGAGCATGAACTATATTTCCAGGGGTCAGAAGGGCACTGCCAGAGAGACATATCAGTGTTCCGACACTGGATTCCATCCACCCACTGGGGCCTAGAACCTTCCCTATAACCAACAGAAGAGTCAAGGGTCCCCCTGTCTCCACAGCCAAGGTGTCTGCAGATTGTGGACAAGGTCATGGCTTCCATGGGGCTGCGGCAGACACTGCCCCAGGTCCCATTGTAGAAAACTTCCAGCCACCCAGCGCACTCCTGGTCCTCACTCAACATCCTCAGGGCCAGGAACTCTAAAAGTGAAAAACAGAAGCAGGGCACAGTGAGTGGTCCATTCAAAGCTCTGTATTCTTTCTCTCTCCCAGAGGATGTGAACACTCATCAGTGACTCTGCTGAGGAGACACCCACTAAGTGGCAAGACTGAAACTTGTGTCCCTTTCTCCTTTGTCCATTTGTATCTGTCTATCTCTACCACAAAGATGTAGTGGAACATGAGCAGAGAGGAACAAAAGTCTGGGCCCTCTGCAGGGAGAAGAGCTCAATCCTGCTTCCGACAAAACTTCTGACAGAGTATGTGGAAGGGAGAGTGGATAGTGGGTGGTGGGTGGAGTAGTGGACTCCTAAAGATTAATACATCCTGCTCCATGTGAAATGTTCCTGTTTATGGCAAGGGACTCTATAGTTAGTATTAAGATAAGAACCTTGGGATGGTGAGATTAACCTGAGGTATCATGCATTAACCAGGCAAATTCAGTCTAATCACATCTTTAGACCCACTGCCCTTAAAAACAAATAAACTTTCCCATTTCAGTTCAGAGGGAAATGTGGCTAAGGAAGAATGGTCAGAGGGAGGCAATGTTGTCTGTTTGGAAAAAAAAGGAGCATGGAGCCTTGGAATGAATGCATATCAGCTTTGGTACGTTGAAAACTGAGGGAGAGAAAATTTCCTTAGAGCCCCCATAAGGAATGCAGCCCTGTTGATACTTTGGTGTCAGCCTAGTGAGACCCTTGTCAGATTTCTGATGTACAGAACTATAAAATAATAAATTTGTGTTGATTTAAACCATATGGTAATTTGTTAGAACATCAGCAGGATATTAAGATTTTACTACCATAAGCAATTGAAGAGTGAGCCCTGTTTTCAGTAGAAACTCTGTAAAAAATGGGTTTGTCAGCAGATATTTCTGAGAAGGGAGGACCAGAGCCCCAGCTGCTGCAGGCAGAAAGGAAAACACCAAATTGCCATACCTGCTAGACAGATAGGCCTTGTGGAAGGAAGGTTCTTGCTCCTTCTGCCCTTTCACCAATACCTCCTCAGGGCTCAGACTCCCATCCTCCAGGGCCCCCACCTCCTCCCCAGCCAATGGACAATGTGAATGAAGACCTGAACAGATGACCCCCGCATCCTCCTTGTGCCGGCAGTTGTGCTGTCCCCAGCCCTGGGAAGGGCACTTCCACAGGTGGGACTCCCTTCCTGTGCAGTTCACGTCATCCAGCCAGATCTGGCCTGATCCTGCGCCGAAGTGAGCAGACACTGTGGCATTGAGGGCTTCCCCGCAGCCCAGCTGTCTGCACACCACCTGGGCATCGTTCAGGTCCCAGCTGTCATCACAGATGGTGCCCCAGGAGCCCTGGTGAAGGATCTCCACCCTGCCAGCACAGCGATTGCCCACGTCCACCAGGCGAAGCTGTCCTCTGTCTGAGGAGAGAAAGGCCAAAGGGGCTTTTACACAGGGAAAGAGAGAAAGGTTTTCTGGTCCTGTGGGAGCTCTCACCTGAGCAGTTGGCAGCGCTGTCTTTTGAGGGTGCAGAGTCTGCTGGTTCAGACACAGAGTTGCACTGGGATAGCACTTGGGTCTGGTTTCCTATAGAAATGGCAGTAGTCAGAGGGTTAGTAGGGTTGGAGAATAGGAAATGGAATTAAAGAAAATAATAACTTAATGATGGGATCTGAGATGAAAGCTGTAAGAGTAATGTTATCATAATATTAGAGTTCTCCTTCTTTATGGGGTGTTCTGCTTCTGACAATGTAAAATTTCTTTTTTTAAGCCAAGCATTTCATGAAAATGAGTTTAGAAAAAACTGAAATGTCACCAATCTTTGAAAGTGTTATAGAGCTACCAAGGCAGTGAGAACTTTAGGATCCAAGCTGTGTGGAAGTAGTCAAGGGCAGAAGTGAGCCACTTACCCCTTGAGGACTTTGTCAATTCAAAGGTTATAACTGAGACTCTGAACAGCTCAGCAGAGATTTTGCCAGACTCACAGTGTTTGGGGAACACAAAGTTTAATTCAGGTTGAGCCACGGAGGACCATGCCTGTTAACCAGAATCCTTGTGCCATAGAAGGAGAAGTAAACTAAGAATATCCTTCACAGGAATGGATGCTCAGGTTCTAATCACTGCACTTTCTTTTAATAAGGCAATTCACCCTTAAATCAGGTCCTTGTAGGAAGCAAAATAAAATGCTTTCTGAAGGATTTCTACAATTTTTATCAACAATGTCTGACATTAAAAAAATTCCCATATAAAAGAGATTTCATAGAAAACTAAGGAAAAAGGTTACATTACAAATATTTACACAAGGCATCTAGCTTGAAATTACCTGACAAAGAGTTTAAATAACCATGATTAAAATGGTCATAGAAGGAGAAAAAAGGGGTTCTGGCCAGGATGGAGAAGTAGGTAGAAATGCATTGCTTCCTTGCACAACCAAAAGAAGATTGAAAACTAACTTAAAAACAATAAAAAATCAGAACTGCCAGAAAATCACACTGAATAGAACTCCAACAACCAAGAAATTAAAGAACATTTATCCAGATTGGTAGGAGGAGTGGAGATGGGCATCCTGGCAGAGAGGACTCTTGGCAAGGCAGCAGACTGCATGAGTGAGGCAGGAGCTGGCTGACTGGGAAAGTAGACTCCAAACCCCCAGAAGTAAAATCCTGTAGGAGTTGTGTAGGTAGGATAAACTCCAACTCTCACAGAAGAGTTAATTGGAGAGACCCACAGGGTCCTAGAACATACACAAACCCACCTACCTGGGAATCAGCACCTGAAAAGGCACAATTTGCTTGTGGGAAGTGAGGGAAGTTATAGAAAGTGGGGAAAGATTTTTGTTTTCTCTGTGACCCTTGTCACACAGACAGAGCCATAATGTAGCAAAGAGGGTTGCTCTACCATGGCAAATACCCAAGGCTCTGCCCCTTACAAGAAAACAGGTGTGCAGAGAAAAAGAAATATAGCCCAAATGAAATAACAGATCAAAGTTCCAGAAAAGAACTAAGTGACAAGGAGATTGACAACCTGTCTGATGCAGAGTAATCAGGATGCTCACAGAATTGATTGAGCTCTGTAGCAAAATGAAGGAAGAAATGAAGGCTATACAAAGTGAAATAAAAGAAAATATTCAGGGAACCAATAGTGAAGAGAAGGAAACCAGAACTCAAATCAATGATTTGGAACAAAAAAGAAATAAACATCTGACCAGAACAGAATGAAGAAATAAGAATTCAAAAAAAAAAATGAGGGGAAGCTTAGGAACCCCTGGGACAACTTTAAGTACTCCAACAGCTGAATCATAGGACTACCAGAAGAAGAAGAGGAAAAGCAAGAAATTGAAAACTTATTTGAACAAATAATGAAGGAGTACTACCCCAATCTGGTGAAGGAAATAGACTTCCAGGAAGTCCAGGAAGTTCAGAGAGTCCTAAAGAAATTGGATCCAAGGAGGAACACACCAAGGCACATCATAATTAAGTTAACCAACATTAAAGACAAGAAGAGAATCTGAAAAACAGCAAGAGGAGACTTCTGGCCAAGATTGAGGCATAGATAGATACACTTTGCTTCCTCGCACAAGCAAAAGAAGGACACCAACAAATTTAAAAACAAAATATAACCAGAACGGCCAGAAAATCAAGCTGTATGGAAGTCTGACACCCAAGGAGTAAAAGGAGAAACATTCATCCAGATCAGTAAGAGCGGGGGAGATGGGCAGCCAGGGCGGGGAGAGCTCCAGGCAAGGTGGTGGCTGGCAGACCAGTAGGTCACACATTTGCATGTAGATAAACTGGGAGGAACAACTGGAGGGCAAGACAGACTGAGTAGCCCAGGCTCCAATGAGGGAAACTTAAGCCTCAAAACCTCTGACTGAAAAAAACATGTAGGGGTTGATGTGACAAGAGAAACTCCCAGCTGCATAGGAGAATTTGTTGGAGCAACCCACAGGGTCCTAGAATGTACACAAACCCACCCACCTGGGAATCAGCACCAGAAGGGCCCAATTTGCTTGTGGGTAGCGGGGCAAGTGACTGAAAGCCCACTGAGAACCAAGCAAGCTGCATTGTTTACTCACACACCCCTCCCCCACATACAGTACTACAGCTCAGCAATGCGGGTTGGCCTGCACTAGCAAATACATAAGGCTCTGCCTTTTACTATGTTACAGGTGCACCAAGACCAACAAATATGGTCCAAATGAAAGAACAAATAAAAGCTCCAGAAAAAATACAACTAAGTGATAAAAAGATAGTTAACCTATCAGATGCAGAGGTCAAAACACTGGTAATCAGGATGCTCACAGAAAAGATTGAGTATGGTTACAAAATAGAGGAAAAAGTGAAGTCTATGAAAAGTGAAATAAAGGAAAATGCATAGGGAAGTAATAGTGGAGGGAAGGAAACTAGGTCTTAGATCAATGGTTTGGAACAAAAGGAAGAAACAGACATTCAACCAAAACAGAATGAAGAAAAAAGAATTAAAAAAGGAGGCATAGGTACCCTCAAGACAACTTTAAACATCCCAACATCTGAATCATAGGGCTGCCAGAAGGAGAAGAGGAAAAGCAAGAAATTGAAAACTTATATGAACAAATAATGAAGGATAACTTCCCTATTCTGTCAAAGGAAATAGACTTCCAGGAAGCTCAGGGAGTCCCAAAGAGGTTGGACCCAAGGAAGCACACACCAAGGCACATCATAATTACATTACCCAAAATTGAAAAGAGAAGGAGAGAATCCCAAAAGCAGCAAAAGGGAGAGAGTTACCTACAAAGGAGTTCTTATAGGACTATCAGCTGATTTCTCAAAAGAAACCTTGACAGCAAGAGGGGGCTGGGAAGAAGTATACCAAGTCATGAAAGGCAAGGACCTACATCCAAGTAAATTCTATTCAGCAAAGCTATCGTTTAGAATGGAAGGGCAGATAAAGTGCTTCCCAGATAAGGTCAAGTTAAAGGATTTCATCACCACCAAGTAATATAGTTCATTACTATATGAAATGTTAAAAGGACTTATCTAAGAAAAGGAAGATTAAAAACTATGAATAGTAAAATGGCAACAAACTCACACTTTGTCAACAAATGAACCTAAAAAATAAAAGAAAGAAAAACAACAAAAACAAAAATGAAGCAAACAACTAGAACAGGAACAGAATCAGAGAAATGGACATCACATGGAGGGTTTTCAGTGGGGAGGGGGAATGGGGGGAAAGGTACAGGGAAGAAGAAGCATAATTGGTAGACATTAAATAGATGGGGAGAGGTATAAAATGGTATAGGAAACAGAGAAACCAAAGAACTTATATCTACAACCTGTGGACATGAACTAAGGGGGAGGGGGAAGCTGGAAGGTTGGGGGTGCAGAGTGGAGGAGGGTTAAAGGGTAAAAACTTGGGAAAACTAATAGCATAATCAATAAATTATACTTTTTTAAAAGTGTACATTTTGTAGAGAGGCAAGATGGTGGAGGAGTGAATGGAAGCCACACTGACATCCTCCTAGAACCAATCTGGAATTACAGGAAAATTGTGGAGAAATCACCGGGAACAAAGAACAGAGCAATAGCAAGAGAGAAGTCTTATAATTTCAGACAGACAGAAGAATCATCTTCAGCACAAACTGACTGGTAAGGATTGTGGTGGAGACTTGAGAAGGCTGGCTGGGTGCCCACAGGTGGCAGCTCTAGAGAGATAATTAAGCAACTGGTTTGATCTCTCTGAGAAGTGTGGGGTCTAAACTCTAACCTGGGACTCCCAGCCTAGAGCACCAGAGCCCAAAAAGTACACAGATAACAACCAGTGGTGAAAAGTGGCAGGGTTGCCCTCTGCCAGAGATGGATGATTGGAGATGCAAAGAGCTGTGTAAAAGGTCAAAGCACAAATTTTCATTTGTAGCCACTTACCTGGGGTTCTAGCAAAGGTGGGGCAGAGTGGGCTAGAGATGCTTGGGAGATACTGGGGATGGAAGCTTTGGGGAGAGAGCTGAGAGAGTAGATGCTGGCATCCCATTGCTAAGTCATCCCCATGTGGCAGAAGCCATCCTGCTCAGGCAGACCACTGCCCTACAAGCAGTAGCAGCTTAGGGGAAACAACAACCCCAACCCCAGGAAATACTCTGCCCCAGCTTTGTGGTGCTTATGCCTGAATGCTGAGTGCAGAGTGACTAGATTAACAAATGAAGAAGACAGCCACAGACAGTAGATCCTTAGTAGTCTCAGAGCAGCCTGCCTAAGGTCAGACAGAGCCAACATCTGACATCACCAGAGGCAGATCCAGAAAGAAAAAAACATGGTAAATCTTAGAGGCCACTGAGACAATATCCACTGTGGTTTTCTCCATGATTAGTGATATTTTAGTTCCTGCATAGTTTTTAAACATTCATTTCTTGTCCATCAAGTTTGTAATAGATTTAAACTATAGTTTATTTCTCTCCTTTTATATAATGATCTTAATCTCTTTATACCTTTACTAATATTGGTTCATTTGCTTTTGACAGTGGGATTGAGGGGTGGATATTTTTGTAGATTAAGGTATGTTCCCTGAGCTTTCTGGTTTTGTTCTGGCAGCATCTGTACAACAGCATACAAGAT